TTGTACAGAGGGAGATAGAGAGATACAAAGTAACATTGTATATAAACATTGTACAGAGGGGAGATAGAGAGATACAAAGTAACATTGTATATAAACATTGTACAGAGGGGGAGATAGAGAGATACAAAGTAACATTGTTTATAAACATTGTACAGAGGGGGAGATGGAGAGATGCAATGTAACATTGTACAGAGGGGTGGGGTAGAGAGATACAAAGTAACATTGTACAGAGGGGGAGATAGAGAGATACAAAGTAACATTGTTTATAAACATTGTACAGAGGGGGAGATGGAGAGATGCAATGTAACATTGTACAGAGGGGTGGGGTAGAGAGATACAAAGTAACATTGTACAGAGGGGGAGATAGAGAGATACAATGTAACATTGTACAGAGGGGGGTGGGGTAGAGAGATACAAAGTAACGTTGTACAGAGGGAGATAGAGAGATACAAAGTAACATTGTACAGAGGGAGATAGAGAGATACAAAGTAACATTGTTTATAAACATTGTACAGAGGGGGAGATAGAGAGATACAATGTAACATTGTACAGAGGGGGGTGGGGGAGAGAGATACAAAGTAACATTGTACAGAGGGAGATAGAGAGATACAAAGTAACATTGTTTATAAACATTGTACAGAGGAGAGATAGATACAAAGTAACATTGTACAGAGGGAGATAGAGAGATACAAAGTAACATTGGACACATACATGTAATGTAACATTTTCTGCTCCGCCTTTGACATTATTCCTTTTCTTTTCCTCTGTTTGAAGGTTGCAGCGCTGTCTCCTGGTTCCACTTCCCGGGTAGCAATTCTCAGCACAAGAGAGTTGGCCATCGGACCTGTGTGCTGAATGACGGCCTGTACTTGGTGGGCGGGTTTGGCGGTGATGGGAAGACGCCGTGTCCTGAGATTTGCATGTTGGAGATGAGTCCATGACGTTGGGAATTGAATGATTTGCTTTGATAATGAACATGTTGTGCTGACTGATGAGTTTGGATCTCTGGAGAGCAATGTATTAGAGGTGCCCCGACATGGAAATGTCAAAACCGAAATAAAAAAAATTGTCAGGCCGTAACCAAAAATGTTTTTTATTTTATATTTTTTTTTTCAGAAACTTATTTTTTTGTATATTTATTTATTAAATATGTTTTACTTTTAGGGGAAATATTGGGGGTCTAGACTCCTGATATTTCCCTTTTAAAATAGAAAATGAGATTGAGAACACAGAGTCCTCAATCTCTTTTTCTGTGTCCCCTGTTATCAATTAACAGGAATCCTCTATACTGAGTGTTCCTGTTCATTCATAACATGAGGACATTGTGTGTTTACTATAACCACGACTATGAATGAACAGGAAGTGATGTAGGAGGTGATGTAGATCACTTCCCATTCATTCATAATTGAGGATATAGTAACCATACTCTGTCCTCAATTATCTACAAACACTCAGCAATCACTGACTGCTTGTACCGCTCTCCATCCTGACACGCTGTCACAGGAGGCTGAGCGAGCGGTGTGTGAGGAGAGCTCAGCCTCCTGTGATAGTGCTGCGGGCTGTCTCCGCCCTGTGATAGGAGGCTTAGCATGGTGGGGGGAGAGATGCCGGACGCTCACAGCGCTCTCCTCCCGCAGCGCTCGGCCAGCTGTCAGTTTCTCTCCTCCCCGCTGGGACACAGAGCAGCGCCCAGCGGGGGAGAAAGAAAGCAGGGATGCGCCGATGTATTGGCAAGAAAGTGGCACTTTCGGCCGATCTATCGGTGCATCCCTACAATGAACCAAAACAAGAAAATGGAAGTTAAGAAAAGCTCCGCCTTGTGTCCCAGTCAGTGACATGGCCTGGGCTGAGATGATGTCATCAGTCTGCTGCAGGCAGGAGGAAGCATTCCCTCAGTCTCCCGTTCCCAAATGATAATTTAGACCAGGGGTTTGCAACTTCGGCACTCCAGGACTACAAGTCCCATGAGGCATTGCAAGATTCTTACAGCCACAGGCATAACTCCCAAACGCATGACAAGTTTTGTTTTTTCAGCACAGCTGGAGTGCAAGGGTTGCCTACCCGGGCTTTAGACTGTATACTGTGACAAGTCACACGGTGAGAGGCTGCAGCCGTGGGCTGACATTTGTGAACACAGCCAAGACGTGCGCAGGCACCAGGATTCATAGCATTGTGTCATCTCTGAGCTGACATCTCACTCCAGTTAGGGTGACCCCCGGATGATACCATGAAGGCCTTGCCAGGGAGGAGTCATGTGGTCTCTGTGAGAGGTAATACCTGGAAGGGTTACACTGACACAATACTGAGCATGTTGCACCCAACACAGAAGATCTATGTTCTGACAGGTCCACTTTAAAGAGAACCGGTCACTTTGCATATTTTAGGTGAATCACTGGCTTGCAACTAGTATGTGCGTTTCACATGAAAACATATATTTCTGATGACTGGTCCACTTTAAACACCTGCAAAAGCCTCGGCCCTAATGGAGCCCCTATGTAGATATTTACCGTATTGGGCGCCCGGAGCGGGGCTGTGCCGGCGTTGAAGGTTTAAAATAGACGCCCCACGTGTCACCGCAGCTGTTCAGAGAGACAAGTGGCAGACCGGCGGATGCTGAATGGACACACGTACAAGACAAGCAAACCGATACAACAAAACTTTATTTAACAAAACAAAAAAAAGCAAAAAAACTTTAACAAAAAAACAAAAAAGAAGCACACAGCCCCAATTCCACCGTGAACCCCCCCCAAAACCATCAAATTCATGCCGCGAGATTTCCCGGCGCACCCCTTGCCCTAGCCCAATTCAAGTGCCCAGCAAAAGAAGAAAGTCCATCGCGGCCGGGGTTGCGATGTCCCGCGGAGGCCGATCAGGAAACCAGGACGCCGGCCGAGCCGGCTTTGGGACCGGATCCGTCACCGTCTTTGGGCGACTGCTTCTGGTCGTCCTCCCCCATCAGGCGGATGTTGTGCTTCTCCCGGTACTCGTTCAGCTCCCGCCCCTTCGTCTGCAGCTGCGTGGTCAGCGTCTCGATGATTTTGTTGATCTGCGGGCAAGAGGGGGGTGGAGTTAAAGGGATGACAGCTCCCATCTGTGGCTTCGCACACAGGTGATCGGTAACGGGAGTTTGTCCCTGAACGTGACAAATGCCGGCTGTCAGATGTAAAGAATTCTGCTTTGGATTTGCGTACTCGCCCAAATGCCCCGATACCGGAATTTCCCCCTGACCGGCAGTGCCACGAGGTAGCATGGAGCCGGCTTCCTGGCCAATCAGGAATCGGGCAGGGGCGTGACCCGCCTCCTGGCTTCCTCATTGGCTGGGAAGCAGGCTTTACTTGTCGCTAGGCAGCCTGGCTTCCTGACCAATCTGGAACCTAGACGGCGGATCATAACCTGACGCCCGGCTTCCCGATAAGCCGAGCCCTCGGCACGCCGGTATCGGCGAGTACCGAAAAGAAAAAAATATCGATACAGAGAAACTGGTATCGGTGCATCCCTACTTTACATCTGCAAGAGGAAATCAGGCTTGCAGTAGGTGGAGCTGCTCTGATGAGCGAGAGGAGGGGGAGGGACCCAGATGGTGCTTTTTTTTTTTAGCTCTACCAGAGGAAATCAGGCTTGCAGTGGGTGGAGCTGCTCTAATGAGGAGGAGGAAGGGGAGGGACTACACTGATCCTACTTTAGATCCAGCAGAGGAAATCAGACTTGCAGTGGGCGGGGCTGCTCTGATGAGTGGGAGGAGGGAGTCCATTCATCCTACTTTAGATCTGGTAAAGGAAATCAGTCTTGCAATGGGTGGGGCTGCGCTGAGGAGGGGGAGGGACTCCATTCATCTTAATTTAGATCTGGCAGAGGAAAACCAGGCTTGCAGTGGGTGGAGCTGCTCTAATGAGGAGGAGGAGGAGGAGGGGGGGGGGGGGCCACCCTGCTCTTATAGAGGGACGATGGGAGGGAGGGGGGCGGATGGGGGGGGGGAGGGGGGGGGGGGGGGGGGACTACACTGATCTTAATTTAGATCTGGCAGAGGAAAATCAGGCTTGCAGTGGGTGGAGCTGCTCTAAGGAGGAGGAGGGACTACAGTGATCTTAATTTAGCTCTGGTATAGGAAATCAGGCTTGCAGTGGGTGGAGCTGCTCTCATGAGCGAGAGGAAAACTGGGAGGGACTAGCTTGATCTTATAGTACAGGGGGAGTGTACAGCGAGCATCAACCGTGATGTCTGGAGGGGAAAGCTGTATACATTTCCGTACAGGCTCTTGAAGTAGGCATCACTCATACAGATTCCACCAATCTGATAAATGGATGATTTTCAGCTCCGTACAAATACGGCGATAAGCCCCGGATTGCTTTATAAAGGAGGCGGAGCTTCCCGAAGCTTTCCCCGCCTTTAAAAAGCCATCCCCTTGGCTATAGCTCACCTGATCCTTGTTGTTCTCCAACGCCGGCAACACCTCCTTCACCGTCCGCTCCACCAGGACGCCCCCGACCATGCGGAAACACTTCCTGTTCTGGTCCACCTCCTGCAGGGTGTCGATGACCAAACTGTGTGAGAGAGAGAGAGATGGTGGATGAATAAGGCCCGCCCCTCCAGAAACATTGTACATGTGACCAGCTTAGGCTATCATGTCACAGGAAGTTGGGTGTGTGTAAATATCCTTCCCCCAGGAAATGACTTTCTAATGTGAAGAGTTCTGAATACATTTATAGCTGTACACAAGGTGGCTGGAAAAACAGAAACCCCACATGTAGTAGAAATGGCTCCGCCCCTTTCCTACTAACAAGAAATGGAGGAAGGCCAAAAGCCGTGACAGGTTCTCTTTATATGGAGGTACAGTACTCACGTGTGCTCGCTCAGCTCCATCTCCAGCTCGGCCGCCTTGGAGGCCAGACTCCTCTGCTCCTGCCGCATGCGATTGAACCCCGCCACCACCTAAGGGGGAGACAATGCAAGGTCAGAGGGCTAAAGGAGAACTCCGACCTCTAACATGGGGCAGGCCCCGCGTGTAACCATGTCTATAGAGAAGACAATGGTGACAGGAGACACTGACAGGTTCTCTTTGACATCAGGCAGAATCCAGGAGCAAGACAGTACCAAGACTGGACATGCTGGGAGCTGTAGTCCCCACTCAGTATAGAGAAGCAAGACATGCTGGTAGTTGTGGTCCCCCCAGTATAGAGGTGCATGGCATGCTGGTAGTTGTGGTCCCCCCAGTATAGAGTAGCATGGCACGCTGGTAGCTGTAGTCCCACCAATATAGAGGAGCATGGCATGCTGGTAGTTGTGGTCCCCCCAGTATAGAGGTGCATGGCATGCTGGTAGTTGTGGTCCCCCCAGTATAGAGGTGCATGGCATGCTGGTAGTTGTGGTCCCCCCAGTATAGAGGTGCATGGCATGCTGGTAGTTGTGGTCCCCCCAGTATAGAGGTGCATGGCATGCTGGTAGTTGTGGTCCCCCCAGTATAGAGGTGCATGGCATGCTGGTAGTTGTGGTCCCCCCAGTATAGAGGTGCATGGCATGCTGGTAGTTGTGGTCCCCCCAGTATAGAGGTGCATGGCATGCTGGTAGTTGTGGTCCCCCCAGTATAGAGGTGCATGGCATGCTGGTAGTTGTGGTCCCCCCAGTATAGAGGTGCATGGCATGCTGGTAGTTGTGGTCCCCCCAGTATAGAGGTGCATGGCATGCTGGTAGTTGTGGTCCCCCCAGTATAGAGGTGCATGGCATGCTGGTAGTTGTGGTCCCCCCAGTATAGAGGTGCATGGCATGCTGGTAGTTGTGGTCCCCCCAGTATAGAGGTGCATGGCATGCTGGTAGTTGTGGTCCCCCCAGTATAGAGGTGCATGGCATGCTGGTAGTTGTGGTCCCCCCAGTATAGAGGTGCATGGCATGCTGGTAGTTGTGGTCCCCCCAGTATAGAGGTGCATGGCATGCTGGTAGTTGTGGTCCCCCCAGTATAGAGGTGCATGGCATGCTGGTAGTTGTGGTCCCCCCAGTATAGAGGTGCATGGCATGCTGGTAGTTGTGGTCCCCCCAGTATAGAGGTGCATGGCATGCTGGTAGTTGTGGTCCCCCCAGTATAGAGGTGCATGGCATGCTGGTAGTTGTGGTCCCCCCAGTATAGAGGTGCATGGCATGCTGGTAGTTGTGGTCCCCCCAGTATAGAGGTGCATGGCATGCTGGTAGTTGTGGTCCCCCCAGTATAGAGGTGCATGGCATGCTGGTAGTTGTGGTCCCCCCAGTATAGAGGTGCATGGCATGCTGGTAGTTGTGGTCCCCCCAGTATAGAGGTGCATGGCATGCTGGTAGTTGTGGTCCCCCCAGTATAGAGGTGCATGGCATGCTGGTAGTTGTGGTCCCCCCAGTATAGAGGTGCATGGCATGCTGGTAGTTGTGGTCCCCCCAGTATAGAGGTGCATGGCATGCTGGTAGTTGTGGTCCCCCCAGTATAGAGGTGCATGGCATGCTGGTAGTTGTGGTCCCCCCAGTATAGAGGTGCATGGCATGCTGGTAGTTGTGGTCCCCCCAGTATAGAGGTGCATGGCATGCTGGTAGTTGTGGTCCCCCCAGTATAGAGGTGCATGGCATGCTGGTAGTTGTGGTCCCCCCAGTATAGAGGTGCATGGCATGCTGGTAGTTGTGGTCCCCCCAGTATAGAGGTGCATGGCATGCTGGTAGTTGTGGTCCCCCCAGTATAGAGGTGCATGGCATGCTGGTAGTTGTGGTCCCCCCAGTATAGAGGTGCATGGCATGCTGGTAGTTGTGGTCCCCCCAGTATAGAGGTGCATGGCATGCTGGTAGTTGTGGTCCCCCCAGTATAGAGGTGCATGGCATGCTGGTAGTTGTGGTCCCCCCAGTATAGAGGTGCATGGCATGCTGGTAGTTGTGGTCCCCCCAGTATAGAGGTGCATGGCATGCTGGTAGTTGTGGTCCCCCCAGTATAGAGGTGCATGGCATGCTGGTAGTTGTGGTCCCCCCAGTATAGAGGTGCATGGCATGCTGGTAGTTGTGGTCCCCCCAGTATAGAGGTGCATGGCATGCTGGTAGTTGTGGTCCCCCCAGTATAGAGGTGCATGGCATGCTGGTAGTTGTGGTCCCCCCAGTATAGAGGTGCATGGCATGCTGGTAGTTGTGGTCCCCCCAGTATAGAGGTGCATGGCATGCTGGTAGTTGTGGTCCCCCCAGTATAGAGGTGCATGGCATGCTGGTAGCTGTAGTCCCACCAATATAGAGGTACATGGCAAGCTGGGAGTTGTAGTTCCCCCAATATAGAGACACACGGCATGCTGGTAGCTGTAGTTCCACCAATATAGAGGTACATGGCAAGCTGGGAGTTGTAGTTTTCCCAATATAGAAGAACATGGCATGCTGGGAGTTGTAGTTCCCCCAATATAGAGACACGTCATGCTGGTAGCTCTAGTTCCCCCAATATAGAAGAACATGGCATACTGGGAGTTGTAGTTTTCCCAATATAGAACGGCATGGTGGGAGTTCTAGTTCCCCCAATATAGGGGAGCATGGCATGCTGGGTGTTGTACTTCCCCCAATATAGGGGTACATGACATGCTGGGTGTTGTACTTCCCCCAATATAGGGGTACATGACATGCTGGGTGTTGTACTTCCCTCAATATAGAAGAACATGGCATGCTGGGAGTTGTAGTCCTCTCACCTGCTCCGCCGCGATCTGCTTAGCCGCCGCACTCGCCATCTCTCCGCTGCTGAGGCTCAGCTCGTCGCCGGAACTCGTTAACCCACGTGACTTCCGACGGTCCCGCCTCCCGCCGCCATCTTGGCTAAGGGCAAAGAACGGATGAGGGTTGGCGTGCGGCTGTGGGCTGTGCTGGGGTGAGGGACTCCACCCGGAACAATTCTTCCCAGCCTAGGGTGGAGTGTGTGTGTGGAAGAATGTATTTCTCTTTGTGTCCCCATGGGGGAAATTTCCCTTCACTTCCTGTGACACCAGGCCCGGAAATGAGGAGCACGGGGTCACAGGGTAGTAATTCTCAGACCTGACAGAGGATCCAATACTTCGTAGCTCCATCTAAAACTAGAAAAGGTTTTGGCTTGAGTTCCCCTTTATCCCTACATGATATGGGACAGATAGACAGGTCCTCTTCATGGGGGGAGGGGACATAATGACACCAATAAAATTACAAATCAATCCCCCTCCGCTGAGTATTGTAATTCTGTCGTCACGTAGTCTCCACAATGACTCCCAATAGAATTCTGTAATTATTATTTGTGTGCGGAGTTCTCCTTTAATTCCAATACTGTGCCCATACAGGTCCTCTTTGTTCCGCACGTCCCCTTCACTTCTGATTGTTCTCTTGTGAAGTTTCAGGAAGATGTCGGCTGTGTGCGGCGCCGCGCGCAATCCGCTGATCGCCGTCTGCCAGATGACGTCCACCGCCAACAAGGAGGAAAACTTCACCACCTGCTCCACGCTGATCCGGGAGGCCTCCGCCCGCAGCGCCGCCATGGTCTTCCTGCCCGAGGCCTTCGACTATATCGGCGGCAGCACCGAGGAGACGCTGAGCCTGGCCGAGAACCTGGACGGGGAGCTGATCCGGCGCTACTCCGGGCTCGCCAGGTGAGACAAGGCCAGTGATGACCCCTCCCCAGAACTGCCCTGTCCCCTCCCCTGCATAGCCCCTCCCCAGAACTTCCAGCACGCCCTGGCCACACCCTAACAGTGCCTCGGCCCCTCCCCAGCACAGCCCTGGCCACACCCTAACAGTGCCTCGGCCCCTCCCCAGCACAGCCCTGGCCACACCCTAACAGTGCCTCGGCCCCTCCCCAGCACAGCTCTGGCCCCTCCTGATTGTTGCCTTTCCCCCGGTCACAGGGAGTGCCGCCTCTGGCTGTCTCTGGGCGGATTCCATGAGAAGGGCCCCGACTGGGACAAAGAGCGCAGGATCTCCAACTCCCACCTCGTCCTCGATGACACAGGTACCCTCCGTGTATGAAAGTGAACCTGTCATTTGCCAGATGTGGAATTACAAAAATCACCGACTTCCTGGGCTTCCCATCGTCACAGAGCCAGGAAGTGTGTGGGGATCTTTCATTGGGGACACCTAAGAGGGGATTTCATTTCACTTCATGTTGTGTCTCTGGGACAGGAAGTGAAGAGAATTAAAAACAAAAAAATATCCGTTTCCTGTGCTCGGTATGTCATTTATTTTCGGATGACCCCCCTGTGTGTCTCCGCAGGAAGCATCCGGTCTGTCTACCGCAAGGCTCACCTGTTCGACGTGGAGCTGCAGAGCGGGGTGTCACTGAAGGAGAGCGCTTTCACCATTCCAGGGGCGGAGCTGGCGCCCCCTGTCTGCACGCCGGCGGGAAAGGTGCCGACACTCTTCTGTGTAGTGATGTACAACTCTTTTTTTTCTAATTTTCCACTCCCCTGCACAGCCCCGCCCA